ATATATATATATATTAAGCAGCACAACTGATTTCAACATTGATAATAATAAGAAATGTTTCCTGAACATCAAATCAGCATATTAGAATGATTTCTGAAGAATCATGTGACACTGAAGACTGGAGTAATGATGCTGACAATTCAGCTTTGACATCATACGAATAAATTCTATTTTAGAAGATATCAAAATAGAAAACAGTTATTTTTAATTGTAATAAATCACAATATTTTTTATGTTTTTATTATATTTTTTGATCAAATAAATGCAGTCTTGGTGAGCATAAGAGACTTCTTCCAAAAACATAAAAAATATCATAATGATTCCAAACTTCTTGTAGTGTAACTGAACAGTTATTGTTTGTTTTATTTGTTGTTTGTGTGTGCTTTTTGTTGTAATGTCACTCATACTAATAGTTTCAGCAACTGTGGATTGTAGTCAGTTTAAGATAACCAGACGCAGTTTCATTCAGCACTAACAATCCCAGTAGGGAAATTTGACTTACAGTTTTATCGCAACTCAGAAGCAAACTAAAATCACCACCATTGGAGGGAAACCAACCAACCAACCTTTTTACACACAAGTGAAATGCAAGGACGAGGCCCTCATTTTCAGGCATGGTAACGTTATTTTAGTAAAATAACACAAACTAGCATTTTTTTTGTCTTTTTTTGAAAATTAAGAAATAAAAAGCGTAGATGCTTCATTATTTGAATTAAATGAAATAAAAAGAACAAGTGCTGCACTGCAGTATGTGGGTTTCTCATAAACGCAAAGAAAACCAACTAAAAAAAAAAGGTTTGCTATGAAAAATTGACAATAAAAACAGTGATTCTAGACATTATTAATACTGTGTTTCACTAGATGGCAACTGGGTTTTTTTAGTCTTATAAAAAGGACATCACTACGAAAAATGCATCAGGCTTTTTAAAATATGCAGCGCTCCAATATAAAGTGCTTCATTACATTGTTATTTCATTTTTTTACAGTTTCTTATTAAAATATTGTATTCCCTGGAGTGAAACCATAGTAAACATGTTACACATTGGTAAAAAATAAACATTTTGGAATGTCTTTAAAAAGTCCCATGGGCTGATTTTGGTCAAGCAGAGCTTGTCTCGGGAGCCTACAGGAAAGAAACACATTATTAGTCTTATTTACTCCCAGACAAACCAACAACCAATCAACTGATCTGGATCTGGAGGAGTTAGTACACTTTACCAATTTCAAGTAGCAGAATGCCAAAATTATTAGTCTTATTTACTCCCAAACAAACCAACAACCAATCAACTGATCTGGATCTGGAGGAGTTAGTACACTTTACCAATTTCAAGTAGCAGAATGCCAAAAAATGGGCTAAAAACCATAAAATGGCATTGCAAAAAGCAGGTGTGAGAAGCCATGCATATGGAGAGGGTGTTATGATGGATGGTAAAGGCTGTCTTGAAACTAGATTCTCACCCCTAAAACACATCAACACTATTTATAATAACAGAATTTCAGGAACATGGAGAGTATATGGGTAGCTGACAAATGTGAACTTTTAAAATGACCATGAACTTCTAAAGCAACTGTATATAGTTTTGTGTATTTTTGCGACTTTTGAGCTGCTTACAGCTTACCGCTGAGTGAAATTACAGTCATAATGACAGTGGATAACTGAACATGTCCATTTGTTGTTGCCATAAAACAATTCTACCTTTCCGCAGAATTTCGTTTCCCCGCTCACCAAACTTTACATACCCCCATAACAGACATTTGTGGGAGAGCGTGGGAAACAAACAGAAGCCATTCACCTTATTTCAAGTCAGTGTACCATCTAAATGATTTTTTCAAGATAAAAAAAAAAACACATATACAGTTGCTTTAACATCAAGAGTTTAGTTTAAAATTTATATTAATTGTGTAAGGCAAGGTGTACATTTTAGGTATATCTCTTGCAATTCACCTAAAAATACAGATCACCCAAAAACAAACATTTTGAATGTTTTTGCTCATCCAATGAAAGTGAATGGGATCCAAACCCCAATGACTTTCATTGTATGTACGAAAATAAATAAATACATGAACAAAATTACAAAAAATATATACCTCTTTTGTGTTCAAAGTAAGTCAGGCGAGTAAATGAGAGAGTTTTCATTTTTGGGTGAACTATCCCTTCAAATAGTCTTGTGTTATGGCGAATTAATTATGGTAATATAATGTAACAAATATATTCATTATTAATATTTTTAGATAATATTGTATTATAATATTAAATAAATATTCCAGACTCAATCATCTAAATTCTCAATTTGTGTAAGGTTAGGAAAACTGCAAGTCTAATAACAAAGGTGTTGTATAAAATAGTTTTAGATTAAATAAAGCATGAATGGTCAATTAGTGAGTGATCAGGGTCAGATGGTTTTCTTTAAAACTGACTAGTCAATTTGAGAAATCCTTTAGATCATGTCACACAGAAATGATTAACATTTCATGTCAACAACCCATATACAGTCAGTCCTAATCTTCTGCTACTAAACAAGCTGTTCATACTGACCCAGTAATAATTTTGATAGTGAAACTGCACAATTTGCCATGCTTTATCCAGAAAGTCAAGAGTAATGTGGTTATCAGCTAAAATGCTAATTGAGAATTGTGGAAAATATGACCATCAATGTGAGAGATGATGTCTTTCCTTTCTTCTACTCCTCTTGTTTTTCCAGCTTGGCGGTTTCAATTATCTTTCCTCCAAATAGCAACATGGTGATTTTAAGGCAACGGATATATAAGTACAGTTTATAGCTGCCATATGAGTTAAAGACAGTCAGTAAAAAAGAAGAGGCAAGAATGGAATGAAAAACAAGATTTAAAAAAATAATAATCCACAGATAGAAAAATAGATGTTCGTGCTCTGTTAGTGCGATGCATAGAAAGGATAGATGAAGTGATCGATGGATGAAGGAGGTGAGGAAGCATTAGTCAGCATGCAGCAGCAGCCACCGGCGTGTTCTGGAGCAATGTGACCAGGAAGAAGAGGGTGGAGGTGGGCAGGCAGACAGACAGGAAGATGATCATGTCTTGTGTGAGGCAGAGCACCAGTGTGTGCTCCGACAGGGCCCAGTCCATCAGCACACACAGCAGCAGGTAGTACAGGTGGAACTCCTGCAAGGCCTGCCACTCCGCCTCTGCCACGCCCACGTCACCACTCACCATGGCCTTAACCTCCGTCAACTCTACCTCTTCCTTGGGACGGGCGCGCTTGCTGTGCCCCCGCTCCTCCATCGCCATTGACCTCCTGCTGTTCTCCACAAACTCCTGCAGGAGAGGAAAGTAATAAATCAAACTACAGTCCAGTACAGCTGCTTCCTAGAGTTCTCAGTCTGAAAGCCACTATCTCTGCCACAGTATGTTTGGGTGAACATTCAAGTCATATTTCACTCCAACATAAAAATGTAATTAAAAAGATTATTTGCTCATGTAAGAAGCATTAAGACCTTTAAACATAGGCGGAGGGTGAACCGACTCCAGGGTAAGGCTAAAAGCAGCCAAATGTATTAAACATCATAAACCCGTCTTTTTAAGTTTAATGGGACTGAATTTGTATTTAATGTGATTACAGTTTAATAAAAACGTTAGAAATTGATAATTATATAACGTTTCCTTTCCACTGTTATTCAAACAGCGAATAAATTATATATAGAAAGTGACATTATCACTAACATTGATCTATCGCGAGTTTAAGCACTCTCAAAAAACAAAACTATCGTTATAATCACTGAAGCTGTATACACTGTTAAATGAATCTCTTACTACGGTGCAACATGAGCAGATCTTAATTTAATGCTGCAATCGACACTGTCTATTCATATTCACTTTGTTAGCAACAGACGTAATAGATTTAATTTGTTTGTGCAGGGGCATTTTTGTCCAATTTAGTGGCATTTTTCCCCAAGTCCCAGCCTTACACACGCTCCGCCTATGCCTTTAAATAATAATTAAGCATGTTTTAATTCCCAAATTATCATTACTGTAATGTGAAAATAAATCTGCGATTACTGACAGAACTCATACTAGCAGAAAAATTTACCTTTTATATATAGAAAGAAGAAGAAGAAATCACAGATATATCCATCCAGCTGAAATGATTCTCAGTGGCGACTCTTGTTACCATAATTTTTACTGTAACAGTTTTTTTTAATCACTATAAACTAAAGACAGAACAACAAATGCTACCGTGTATAAATCCATATACATATATGTGTAAATTAAATAAATAAATATCCATTGAGAATAATTGGAATTATTCTTTAATTAAAAATATTCAAAATGTAAAACACATTTGGATATATTATCCAACAATTTGGGGGAATATGTGCTTAATTATTATGAAAATATGATTTAAATGAAAAAGGAAATATAGGCTAATTGTCTTTAAAAAATATATACTTAAATGTATTTAAAGCTTCATTTAAAAAATAAAAATTGGGGTTAAATGTATGTTTGTTGCAAGATGCCTTGCAGTAAGACTCTTTATTAGGGATGCACTGATACCACTTTTTTTCAGAACAAGGCCGATACCGATACTTTTATTTTTGGTACTTGCTGATACCGATACGGATACCTGTATTTTCATGCCATTTGTAATTTTAAAAAATACTGGCTACAGAAACCAAAATAACATGAACAAGTTGGCTTAGTTCATTTAGCAAATAGATATTTCTTTCAGTTATTTTTACACTTAATTATGCCCATTAAAATGTATTGTATAAGCTTTTCATTTTATTGCCATCGTATTTCATTTTTAATTTAATAGAACATTAGAGCCGCTCCACTGCAGCGGCTCAGTACTGTAATCACAAGACGTTTTCTTGTAACAATGCAAGGAACCACTCATTATACATAAACCTTGTAACAGCAATGAACATTTTCTGAAATATGTCGCGTTTTTATCATCTGAAACGTGATGCAACTTATATTCCAAAGCCACTCATTTAATGCAATTAACGTCAAGCTAGCAAAACATGCCCAACACACGCACACATTTGTATTGGTGCAGAACGAAAGAGACACGTACAGGCTGCTAACTTCACTTTTGCTTTAAATAAAGTTGTTTATGTTTGACGTTTAAAATAAATGTTGTTTATTGTGAATGCCCCTATAATTTTATTTGTTTTATATTTACGATCTAGTTTTAATCCAAATGATGTGTGTGCTAAGAGAGCGAACAACAATCAAGATCATGCAACACGCTATCGGCTTTTGGTATCGGGGCATTTTAATGAGTACGAGTACAGGAGCACGGTATCGCTGCATCCCTACAAATCACTGAAATGTTGTGTTTTCCAGCTGTTTTTGTGTTAAGTAATTCTTTAAAAGCATTTACACTGGAAAAAACTACACTGGTGTAGAAAAAAATTAACTCAGAAATTGCTAGTAAGTTTTACAAATTAATTACAATGAAATAGCAACACTTTGAATTAAAGGTGAAATTATTTTAAAGTGTATTAAAGTGAAGTATTTTCTTGTGAAAAACACACCCAATATCTTTGTTTTATTACAACTTTGAAAAATCAGTTTTTAGTGTAGTTTTCTGTTAACCGAATAATTTCCACTTTATCCTAATATAATGATGACTTTGCAAAATAAATGATATGTCACCAACAGCAGACCACTTCCACAACTAATGGAAGATCGATTTCATAACAATTGCAAATTCTATTCAACATTTCTTAGATCAGAAGAACATTTTCAAGCAGACTAGTGCAGTTCCTCAGCATGCAGTTGGAAAACAGCTTTCCCACCAAAAACAAAAACGTGCTGAAATGGTGCCAGTAACTGCAGACTGAACAGATATTTCTAACCAAAGCAGCTCTGAGAAAGAAAGCCGTTGACATGTTCCAAAGTCTGTTGCTGTGCTACAACCTTTACTGCTAGTGACTTTGCATTTCTGAGGGGCAGTGATTCTGTGCAGCACCTCAAGGCTCAAGCCTTCTCTTTTGATTTCTCAAAGCTGTTGGTTACATGATTTGGCTGACTATGTGAAAAGTAGAAAGCAGCTTTATAAGAGTGCATAAGAAACCAGCCTTGAGTGAGTTTTTTCCCCCTTGAAAAATCAAAGAGCTTTTCAAAACAAAAGTTGTCCAAAGAGAATATCTGGGACACCATCTGAATCTTAAAATATTAACGTATCCAGGCCAGCAGAGAGCCTGCATTCAAAAGAACGAGCGAAGCTACAACACAAAACAGAAACGTGACTCAGATGGCAAGTGCGCTCTCAACAGTGAGACTATTTATGGTGTTCTGATCCAACAGCAGACAGAAGGAGAGAATTTCTTCAGTGGTGACTCACCATCAGGGCCTTGTCCATGTAAAACTCCCTCCCAGGTGTGCCGTTGTTGTATTTGGTGTCGATGGCAAAGCAGAGGAAGAGCACGTCCACCACGATCTCGAAGATGGACAGGAAGCAGTGTGCCACCAGGAACGCAAACAGACACACGATGATGAGCGGCAGGACCCACTCGGTGTAATCTCTCTGATAGTTCAGCGCTAACACCCCAGCGAACGCCGTGCACGTCACGATTAGGATCTGCATGGGGATAAATATGCGAATGCTTAAGTATTATTATTTTAGCTAATTATTAGGTATAACAAGTACGAAAAAAGCATGCAGAAAAGTCAAGCATAACTGGTCTGCAGCATGGGACACTGATGTGTCTTTTAGGCTTCTTAAAGGGATAGTTCACCCAAAAATGAAAATTCTGTCATTACGGTAATTACTCACCCTCGTGTCATTCCAAACCTGTAAGACCTTCGTTCATTTTCCGAACACAAATTAAGGTATTTTTGATGAAATCCGAGAGTACCACGACGCATACGTGCGCATATCCTCTGCTTGTAAACAAGGCGCAGCACATCCAGGTTCTACATCAGCAGCACCACACGCATGCGTCGTGGTACTCTTGTGAATGGCAGTGGAGACTGACACGGAAGAGAAGAATTGTTTAATAAAGTCGTTATTTTTGTTTTCTTTGCACACAAAAAGTATTCTCATAGCTTCGTAAAATTACTGTTGAACCGCTGATGTCACATGGACTATGTTAACGATGTTCTTACTCCCTTTCTTGGCCTTGAATGTGGTAGTTGCATTGCTGTCTATGCAGGGTCAGAAAGCTCTCGGATTTCATCAAAAATATCTTAATTTGTGTTCCGAAGATGAACTAAGGTCTTACGGGTTTGGAACGACATGGGGGTGAGTAATTAATTACAGAATTTTCATGTTTGGGTGAACTATCCCTTTAACTAGTTCATCCATCAAGGCTTCCTTGATAATCCAGCTTCATCGACTGTGAACTAGCTTAACCATTTAAATTGTGTTAACATAGGTATACTGGTCGAGGCACACCAATACAACCAGTATAAACCAGCTAGCACTACCATGAACATTCATGCTGGTCTAAACTTATTGTTTAATCTTGTGGTTTTTAGTGCATGTCTGTTAGCTTTAAGGACACAAATATTGACAAGTTAAAAATGTAGTAACTGACAAATTAGAAATGTAATGATTTATAATTTAAAAAGGATCAGAATTATTTATTGATTTATTTTGTACACATGGACATATACAAAAAACGTATAATAAATACAATGTTTTTTTGTAATGGTGAGAAACAGGCTAAAATGTAGCGAAATATGAAAGAAATATTTTCACAAAAGGTTTTTTAAGTTTACCTTCAATAGAAGGTAACCTAAAACTAAATCTGGCCTTGCTCTTTTCAAATGAGCAAACTGAATTAAAAAAGGAGTTCAAGAATAATTAAAATTGTATAATAAATAGTAAGCAATAAATAATGGTTTTGCTGAAAGGTGACATGAACTGAAAGCTACTGGCAATTAATAATTGAAAAAAATATATAGGAAAATAATAAAATAAAAAGACACACACTACTATTCAACGGTTTAGGTTAAGTACGATTTAAAATATATATATATATACAGTGGGTACGGAAAGTATTCAGTGAATACTTTCCGTACCCACTGTATATATTACTTTTATTCAGAAATTGTACATTAAATTGACCAAAAGTGACAGTAATGATATTTTAAAGACAATAAAAAATGTTTGTTCTTTTGAACTTTCTATTCATTAATGAACCATGAAAAAAAATGTGTCATGGTTTTCACAAAAATATTAAGTGGCACGACTGTTTTCATCATTGATAATAATAATAAGAAATGTTTCTTGAGCAGCAAATCATCATATTAGAATGTTAGGGTGTGGTACTGAAAACTGGAGTAATTATGCTGAAAATTCAGCTTTGCCATCACAGAAATAAATTACATTTTAAAAAAAATATTAAAATAGAAAATGGTTTAAATTGAAATAATATTTCACAGTATTACTATTTTTACTGTATTTAAATCAGATAAATGCAGCCTTGGTGAGGTAAAAACATAAATATAAAATCTTACTGACCCCAAAATTGAACAGTAGTGTATGTCAACATGCAAAACAAAACTGCACTACTCAAATAACAGTTTAGCTGGCTGCCTTTAAATGCTTGATGACCACTATCAAAACTTATCTGTCCTTCACCTTGCCCAGGAAGAGAACAAAATCTCCAATGGTGTTGATGGTCGCCACCCTAAGAGCATTTTCCACCAGGATCATGAAGGCATCGCGGGCCGAGGTGCAGAAACTGGTGCTGTTTATGGCCGTCGCCGCATATGCATTCTAGAAACAGGTTACAAAAATTTATATCACACAAAAAGAACATCTGAATGAGCTACAATTTCTACCTCAATTTGCACAGTATGAGTTTTCCATCGACTAACCTACCTGATTCAAATAATTGAGGCACTTCTCTAGACACCACAGACAGCAGATACAGGTCTTCAGCATGCAGCGTGCACAAGCGTTTTCCTATGGGGGGTGTAACATGAAACAGAATAAGAACGAGTGCAAACGTTATCCACAGTGTATGTCTGTTGCACATTTGTCAACCTCTTCCTTAATGCTACAAATCTGCCTCTATAAAGCTGGCACTGATATCAATTAGAGTTCATTATATTCCCAAGATCCCCAGCCATATATCAAGTAAATGATACGTCACCTAAGTGGAACCCAAGAGGACAGTAATAAATAGCTCTCAGCATTAATTTCAAAAGATACCCACCCAACACACCAAGATAATACTAAAAATAAGTATTTAGAAGAACATTTTCAGACAAGTAAAGTAATGATCACCTGACTCCGGATTCAAAAAGCAAAAGCCAATTCAAAATTTTTTCCGCTTTTAGCCATTACATTATTCTTAAAAACTGAAAGTCAAAATTGAGCCTATTTACTTTAATATTAAAATAGCTGGTTTTATTGTGCATTATTTATCAGTAAACACTTCTAAAGAAAATGTGTTTATTTACAAAAAAAAAAAACTGGATTATCCACCCAGGATTATCATCGTTAATTAAAACTTAAACCATAAAAGAAAGATTTTTATTACTTGAAACAAAATAAACAAACTAAAATAGAACAAAACTATTTTATTTTAACTTGACGTATTAAAATAACTAAACATAATAAATAAAAATCAATAAAAACTATAAAGACATTAAAAATTATAAAAATGAAATTACTAAAGCAGTAAAAACAGAAAATATAAAAATAAAATAAAATTCAAAATATTAACAAAAATTATAATAGTATATTAATAATACTAAAATAACACTCTCAATATCAATCAAAAATAAATAAATATAAATAAAATAACACTCACCATGAAAACATTTGAATAAAAAACCCATATTTAGCACATAATACTAGCATAATACTCACGGAAAACGTCATAATACTAGTTAATCGTGAATGTAATTGTCCCAAAAACACCACATAACAACTTTCCTGTCCTAATGAAAACTGCATGCCATAAGCATAAACATGCATGACGTCAGTTAAGATTCTTGCAATGAGAGAGATTTGCAATTTAGATCCAACAGCCCAAGGACACGTCAAGCGAGCTGCCTCCCTACCTTTCCTTTGAGTTGGTTGTGGATGTACATGAGAATGAGGCGTGGGATCTTGACGAGGGTGATGATGAAGGAGCCCTTGGCCACAGTGCCCAGGTGATACCGCACCAGCCGCAGCACTGATGACAGGATGGGCGTCACCGGGAGTTTGGTTTTGTCCCTGGATGGATATAAAATAAATTACTGCAACTGTGAGCTATTTCAAGAACAACTTCCTGGATACAGGATTAGTTGAAGACAAATACAATTATGGGCTTATAGTTCACCCAAAAATGAAAATGTGCTAAAAATTGACTCACCCTCAGGCCATCCAAGATATAGATGAGTTTGTTTCTTCATCAGAACAAATTTGGAGAAATGTAGCATTACATCACTTGCTCACCAATAGATCATCTGCAGTGAATGGGTGCCGTCAGAATGAGAGTCCAAACAGCTGATAACAACATCACAATAATCCACAGGACTCCAGCCAATCAACTAATGTCTTGTGAAGCAAAAGGTCCATAATCCATGGACACATATTTTAGCCTGAAGAAACAGTTTAAAGTTAAAATGTCTTAATGATGGATTTATTACAAACATGCAGCTTTTCACTTGACAAGACAATAATTAATAATCTGGAGTCGTGTGGATTACTTGTGGATTATTGTGATGTTTTTATCAGCTGTTTGGACTCTCATTCTGACGGCACCCATTCACTGCAGAGGATTTAATGGTGATCAAGTGATGTAATGCTAAATTTCTCCAAATCTGTTCTGATGAAGAAACAAACTCATCTACATCTTGGATGGCCTGAGGGTGAGCCCACTTTCAGCAAATTCTCATTTTGGATGAATTATTTCTTTAAGCAAACAGAAAGGTTAAAAGTGCCACAACTTCATAAAAATCAACCAACAAATGACTTAATTCCCGCCGTCTCTGCATATTAAACTGTGATCGAAGGAAGTATTTTAAAATCAAAAAATATTACACACATCACCTTTACCAACAAGAGTGGTATTTGAGAGCATTTTCACTAAAAATACAGACCTTGTGAAATAGTAGGTTACCACAGCACCGGCTACGGTCATCTGCTGACAAGCCAGGATGAACTCACTGATCCAGATCAGTCCCACTGCGTGGTACCAGGTCATGTACTGCAGCGCTCCTGTGAGCCTGAACTCAACCAGGCCAGTATCCTCATTTTTCTCTGGGTTCCCTGTGGACAGGAGCGTACAAGCTGCAGCCTGAGATTTTTGCTTTTAAAGAGCTTTCTGCAATAGTAATACACATTTAAAATGAGAACGAGATGCCCAAGCAAATTCGGTTAATTTGTGCTGCAGTATGTAAATGTCCTACATTATCTGTACAAAATGACTTGAACAGAAGACTATTTTAAGGCTTGTACACATTATTTCTGAGAAACAAAATGCAAAGCAAAGCAATTCCTAAAATTATATTAATATTTCCTTTTGCACATCTGTAGTTCAAAGTATACATTCAAAAGTTAATTAAAGGGGTCATATTACGTTGCTAAAAAGAACATTATTTTGCGTATTTGGTGTAATGCAATGTGTTTATGCAGTTTAAGGTTCAAAAAACACATTTTCCACATACTGTACATTATTGTTTCTCCTCTATGCCCCGCCTTTCTGAAACGCGTCGATTTTTACAAAGCTCATCGGTCTGAAAAGCGAGGTGTGCTCTGATTGGCCAGCTATCCAGTGCGTTGAGATTGGCCGAATGCCTCAAGCGTGTGACGGAAATGTTATGCACCTTACCATATTGTGATGCTGTGTCCCGGTGTGACGAGACAAAAGGAACTTTATAGAAACAGCCTTTGTGAACAGCCGCATTGTAGGCTACTCTCCATAAAATGTGCTGCACACACTCGAATATTTGGTTGAACTGTGGAACAATGTTGTAAATACAACTTAACCACTGATTTGTAGTTGTGTCCTCTTTTGGAAGGCCAAACAAAGTAGTTTCGCTTTCACAATGAAACACAGTCCCTTCACGACATGGCGGCGGCAACAACAAAACTACAGCGATTAAAGAATATCTCTTTGGGTTTGAGACTTCAGTCTTTGCAACTTTAGGGATCTTATCTATTCACGAACAGCATGTAACACTCCAAAGAGAAAGGAAAACTTGAAATTGCATCATATGACCCCTTTAAGGGAGAAGCAATATAATTATATGATGTGTGATAATAGACTGCTTAGTCTGTTTTTAAGCAAACATACCAAACTTAATATCTTGAATATCTTTCCTGATGTGAAAACAGACATCAAAACATTATGATGTACAGTATTAGGATGGATAACGTTTTAATGTTTAAAACCTGGCAAAGAAAATATTGTGAGAATAAAATAATAAAACAACAACAAAACAAAAAAGAACAACATAAAACAGAACTAAATAAATAAAATATACAAAAAATGTAATGAAATAAAACAAAATAAAATAATAAAAAATAAAATTCTTCAAATGGCCAAACTATTCCATGAATCCGACTGCACTATTGTGTTTATTTTGCACTCAAAAAGCAGATCCATTATAGAATGTGCAATTAGATTTCAAGTTAGTTGTTTAAGGGATATTTCAACCAAACATAATGAGAAGTCTGACATCATTTACCCATCATCATGTCATGACTTTCTTTCTTCAATAAAAACAAAATTAATGCTGTTTTTCTCCATGCATTGAAGGCAGACTTTGATAAACAATTATGGAATAAAAAAAGTTTGGAACAAAATAAGGGTATGTAAGTAAGTTTCTATTTTTTAAAGCTAAACTATCCCTTTAAAACCCACAGGAATCTACATCTCACCAGTGGTGCCGAGAAAGAGGAGGACCATGATCCAGTAAACCCAAAACAGAGAAAGAGCGAGGAACGTGCAGAAGGGCTGCAGTGCCAACAGCGGCAGGTGGATAAACACTTTTCCCGCCACATGGAACAGGGCGATGGTCAGAGCCACCCTCTTCCTCATAAACAACATCAGAAGCAACAAAATTCCCTGCGGGAGCAGAAAGATGGAAATTAGCAGCAAGACAGCAAAAAACACCAGCCGAGACCACTCTCATATTTCATTTTCCATTTCTCTGAGGGCTTACAGTGAACACAGTCGCTGAAACAGCATAGATGAGCAGTCCTTGAGCGTGGTCTTTGGGGGTCGTCATGCCATCATTGGGTTCTTCCGTTTCCCTCAGATCTTTAGTCATGGTCTCATTCATTGTCATTCTATAGTCTATGTACAACCACCACAGAACGCTGGTACCTCCTGAGAAAAGCCAAGAACAGACGCCATATTCGCATTCAACATTGCAAAAACAGGTGTAAGCCTAGAATAAAAACCACACTTTTAATGATGATTCATCTTTGTGTGGGACTGGATTACTGTGCATCCCTTTGGAACAGACAAATAATAATTCTGGCTGATAGTCAATATGATTATATGAACAGTGATATTTTAAATCTACACTGTTTAGTCTGTTTTTCAAGCAAAAATACCATTCACAATAAACAGAATCTCTTTCCTGAAGTAAAATCAGACATCAAAACATTATAATATACGATATTAAGATGGATAACTGTTCAGTACTTTTGAAACCTGGCAAAAAAAATATAGTTTGAGAAAAAATTTTATACATTAAATTAAATAAAACAAAACGAAATAGAGCAAAATAAATAATTAAAAAATGTTAAAAACCAACAAAAAATAATAAAATAAAACAACATTATTAAATAAAACAAAATAAAACAATATAGGAACTAATTAAAATTACTTAGAAGAAAATAGAAGAAAATCAAATAAAATAGAAAAAAAATATAAAATAATAAAACAAGAAAATAGATTGAAATAGAACAAAGCAAAATAGAAAAATAAAATAAAATTAAAAATATTGACAAATGGTAAAACTGTTCAATTCATCAGAATGTGCTATTTTGCACTCAAGAGTAGGACGTGCAAATGAAGAAAGAACGGATGCCATTCTCAGCTTAGGAGGTGAGAAAAGAGCAGAGAAAGCAGACTTGCCCAGGGAACCCAGAACCACCAGTGCAGTGAGGATCCAAACCAGGACAGCAGAGATGTAACGAATGATCACCATGAGGATCATGGACAAAACTGCAGCATGCACAAAACAGGATCAGCAGTTAGAGGAAGACTCTAGACTAAACTACAATCTGGAGTTAATCGTAATCAAAATGCATTGCATTATGGAAATTAAAAGTGCTGTTTCATGTTATCTTAAAGAAAGGACAAAATACTTCAGCCTTTGTCTGATAGTGGCTCAGAATAATGCAATAATTACATTGGTGGGCCTTAGATTTCGATACTTGTTTGTTAATGCGTAACAAAGCAGAACTTAATTAGCTTTGATTTTATATAGATATCAAGAACTGCAATTATCCATTTCAACTCATTTTATAGATAAACACATAATCAGAAAACTGAATCAAATGAGCCTCAGCAGCAGCATCCAGAGAGAGCAGACGGTTACCTAGCGCCAGCAGACACAGCCCAACAATGATCTCTTTGCTGGCGGCCACCCCGGCAATCAGCCTGTTTAACATGCTGTTATCACTGACAAACGTGACCACCGCTTCAGCAAACTTAGCATAGCAGGAGATATCCACTGGAGTGCAGCGGTTAAACACTGGAAGAGCTTTGCTGCAGAGATAGAAAAGGCCAGAGGATAGAGGACAGATCAAGAGAGAAAGGAGCTGTGCTTTACAGGGAGAGTTTGTTTGTCAGACAGGAGTTTGTTTCATACCTCTCTGGTACTGGAAGTTTGGGACACTTTTCAAAGCGCTCGGGAAGTTGTGGGTACTTGTGACCAGGTAACTCATACGAACAAAGCTCGGACCCTAAAAGAGAAGAAAAAGATGCATTATACTCAACATCATCCCTATAATGCTAGGTCATGGTAAGATGGTCAATAAATTGAAGATGAAACAAACTCTGACTGGACTAGCTTAATCAGGATGGTCCACCAACTCAAACCAGGTTGACCAAGGTGGTCTGTCAGGTTGACACCAGCAAGGGCTCAGTCGCAAAAAGCGAGAAAGCGAGAGATTTTTTCAGCAGGGATGTGGAATGAGACCAGTTAAATCACCGTCAACTCACTAAGCATTTAATATGAATGTGAACTCCACAATGAACGTTCATTATGAGCAGATGCACGTAAAACATAGTTGAACTCCAGGGAAACAATGATGGCATTCATACTCTCCCTTGGTGTCAGATAGGATGTGTCAAACCCTATAGACAGCAAGACTGGACTGTAAACAACAGAGACCCTACAGCGAGACGGGTCAGAGGAATCTATGTTTATTTAGTTTAACCCTGACCTGGTCTTACCGGCTGCACCTGACTAGGGATATGCCGGTATCAAATTTTCATGTTGCGATTAATTGCTAATGCTTTCATCACGGTATGCGGTATTATCACGATATTGAAATTTAGTTTTAAAAAAGTGCTGTCATAATACAGTATAACAGGTTTAATAAAGAGGAACATACTGTATGTGTTAGGGCTGGGCGATATAGCTAAAAAATGTATCAACGATACATGTTTCATATTGTTCGGTATCGATAATTATTGACATTTTTTAAAACAGAGCAATATAATTTTTTTTCTTAATTTAACCACTGTATTTTTAATTTGCCCAATTTATTAAGACAAACAACACATTTTTTATATATTTTTTTTACAGTCAAACACAAAATAAAATGTAAACAAATATCTCCTTTCTTATGTTTTATATGCAGATTAAATAAGTCTTAAACGCATTGAGCTACTACAGTATATTTCAAATGCAAATGTTTATTTTAAATTCGACTAATATTCTTTTTTTAATTCACAATCTCCTCATCACAGGCAGGCATTACAGCATGTGTTCGTGTTCGTGTGTTGCTGTCTGCATCACTCATAACACGTGCCTATATCGTGCGCTATATCGAACATTTTTTATATCGTTATCGATGAAGGTGTACCGTCGATAAATATCGATACCGTTTTATCGCCCAGGCCTAGTATGTGTATATTTATGTGTGTGTGTTGCTCTTGTTGGAGCCCGTGAGTATAAGAAACACTGTGAAAAGACACACTGGTGGTCACAACCATATATATGAAGAACGCCTTTGTCTCTCCCAAGGGTAGATTGCCAGTCAAGGTCCTGCCATTATATCTGTGATGATGACATCACATGCCCACAATAGCTAGCTGGCTGACGACTCACCATTTATCATGGCAAACCTCTTGAGGTCGTAGTAAGTCGCCAGTTCCTCAGTGGGACATTGTGACACGCACAGCGCCATGGACTTTATCTTCCTCTGAATGACGTCTATGTTGCATGGATCCAGGAAAAAGACGAATCTGTGAATAAAACAACAACAAAGTCTAATTTTTTCAAGACAGGAAGAGTATCTAACCTCAAATCTGATGACAAACGAAATACCAAAGCAGGTTGTTTATTTCATGGAGTCTGATCTGATACCACCATGGGACTTAAAATACGGCATTGTGCGATAAAGATCGACTCTGAACAGCAGATATTTTTTGTCACAGGACCGTTCAGCCCAGTTTTTTTGGCAGAGGGGAAACTGAGAGCTTGTTTATGCTCCTCTGAGCTCCTCTGAGGCCATGGCTTTACTTCAGCTTTTCATGCGGTGTGAAGTGGGCATGGCACCCACGCAGGGATGAGGGACCCATTGTCTTGTGTGTTCAGCACAAAAACAGACTGTCAGTAGCAGGGGACGTACGCTCTTGAGGAAAAAGCACTTCAGCATTAGCACAGAGCCTGTCAAAACAGCCTGGCTAAAGAAGAGGTCTACTGTAAGAACGTAGCCCAGGTCTGACCTGAGGCTAGTCTAATGTGAAAGGCAAGCATTGGAAGAAATAGCATTCAGATATGCAAACTATTCAGATATCAGGCATCTGGAATGGCTTAATCTTTTAGAATATAGGATTAGAGACAACATATTAGTTTTTGGGGTGAAAATAAAGCTGGAAATTTAAAGGGACATATGATGAAAAACAGGATTTTCTTGTTTTAGAACCAAGGTTTAATTTACTACAAAGACATACACTGTTGTTCAAAAGTTTGGGGTCGGTAAGATTGTTTTAATGCTTTTGATAGAAGTCTCTTATGCTTACCAAAACTGCAATTGTTTAATTAAAATACCGTAAAAACAGAAATATTGTGAGATATTATTACAACTTAAGATATATGTGTTTGTCTTTTGTTACACTGTAAATTTATTTTATTTATTTAATGAATCCATGGTGAATAAACATGTTAATTTCTTCCAAAAAATAAATAAATAAAAAATAAATAAATACATAACTAAATCTTCCTGACCCCAATCCTTGACGCAGCCTGATGAACAACAGTGTGACAGTCACTGGAATCTGGAGGTTAGCTAATTATATTAGAGGTCATGTACAAAAAGTTTAAGTAATAATTAAAGGCATGTAATTTCTGCACCAAATGTAATCACAAAAGTAATTACTTTTATAAAAGACTATACTTTAGAGTTTGTTCTTCATTGGAATAACACTATTAGTAAATTCTTAGGAAAAGAACAAAATGTAAAGCTTGTAAAATATATCATTTTCATACTGACAACAGGGGAAATGGGAAATAAACACTGAACCTAATCTAACCCAAAGCTTGCTGCACAAAACTGCTGACAACCTTTACAGTATACAATAAACACAATGAACACACATGAGAGGCAAAGATGGACCATAACCCCATTAAACAGAGATGGATAAAGTGAGGGATCGTGGGCAGTGGGAGCGGGCTGCAGGATCACAGTATTACTAGCAGCTGAGAAAGTAAAACTAAGCTAAGTGCATTAACCAGATGAACTTTGCTCAGTTAACAACATTAGCTTGCTAACTCAGTCTGCCTCCTGACACACACACACAGTTACACCCCCAGCATGTACTACATCCAGTATGGTTGTTAGTAAAGGTGTTCAATTTCAGGTTTTTCCTGAGTCGACTCCCACCGTAGGAGTCGATGGAATCGACTCCACGACTCAATTTACTTTACATCAAAACAAAATACAAAATTGCAATTGTTACCACTAAATGTATTCTTAAATATGATTAAATTCCCTTTAGCAGCTATTACTCAAATAGCTAACCAACTTCTGTGATTCAAACATCTTGTCAGTAAATTTAAATACCACCACTAGACCTCATACTAGACCTCAGTCTACAACCAGTATCACTATTACTCTCATCCCTCACTGAATGACCCACAGGCCTGTGCTAATCTATTCAATAAAGTCTAACATCAACAAAGCAGGCTAAGGTCAAATGTCAAATCTTCTTAACAAAGCACATAATTACTACTTAAATAGTAAGCACCAAGTAGAAAGGTAAAGGTCAACAGATCCCAACCCTCCAAGCCAATTAACTGTGCTGTACATATGAGACTAAAAAAAGAGTGAAGGTGTGAATTCTGAGCAATTCAAGAACAATAGAAATTATGAGAACAATTTGACAAGTCTAAGGCCTAATGTCTTTCTCTTTCCTTTGCATCATTAGGCAGTGGGTCCACACAGGCAATAGCGATGTACAACCCAGGCTCACTGGAAATACTTGACTGAGTCTGAGATGACATTTCTGCAAAATAATATTGCAATGCTTCTTGCATGTTTCGTGACACATCCAAAGCAGAATGTCCTGTGACTGGTACTAAAAGTGGTTAAGTTTTATTCGAAACAGAAGAAAGTGAATATGGCAACATTTTATTACACTGGTTGTTGTACGTATTGTGTTTGAAAATAACGTAACACTTACACTAAATCCAACTCTAAACCTAACCAACAGTGTTAACTAAAACAAAAACTAATATAAAAACACAACTGCTGAAGCAACCATGCCATTTTAACTTGCTTCTACAAGCCTTTTAACTCTTTTATGGTGACTTGTGTTTCATGGGACTGGTACCCAAGCGCTGTGAATCGCAAGTGAAATAATGTACCAGGTGAGCTGCCGAGCAAGTTTACTACGTCAGAAAAACCATACATATGGAGCTTGTTACATGATGCAGAAGTCCATATGTATTTGTTTACAAATCATGCATTATGGAAATAGTGTTTTGAGGTCATATACTTATACTTGATTTCCAATGAGCCTAGTTTGAAGATATATATATGTGTGTGTGTGTGTGTGTGTGTGTGTGTGTGTTTGTGACATATGAGGACACAAATTTGTATAATGATATTGGTATGCCATAGGTATTACAAGGAGAAGGTGACTTATGAGGACATTACCCCATGTCCCCATTTATCAAAACGCTTATAAATCATTCAGAATTAGTTTTTTTGAGAAAGTAAAAATGCACAAAGTTTCCTGTAAGAGGTAGTAGTGTTAGGTGTAGGGTTGGTGTAGGGCAATAGCACATACAGTTTGTACAGTATAAAAACCATTATACCTATGGAATGTCCCACAATTCACAAAAACAAACCCTGTGTTTATTTTATATATATATGTGTGTGTGTGTGTGTGTGTGTGTGTGTGTGTGTAAAGAGAGAATGATATAAAGGTTAGTGTAGTGCTATTCAGGGGTGATTACACGTCTCTAGTGGTTCTGTATTTTGAGCCAGAGGTAAAGCTTTAATAAGAGGAAGACAAGTAACGAGCAGTCACGCCTTCCTGTAGGAACATCTCACTCTAGGTGGTATTTACCACACCAGTCTCTTTTATGACATGAATAAATGAAGCAATTACTCAGAGCTATATGGTTGTAATAGGATAAGCAAACACCTAGACATGTACTAAATCACACACAGGCAACATCACCCTCATGAAAAAACTGCTAAATGTGAAATGCAACATAAAATCTACTAATCACAAAAATTTTTTTGTAAATGGGCAGTTGACATGACATGTAATTTTACTGTCCTCAATGGCTATAATTTTATCTTTTATTTTCATCATGGTTGGACAGCAAAGAACTTTCTTGCCATAAATATAAAATGATCTATTCAAATTGTGATGTTGTATTAGCAATTTCACGTCAAATGTGACTTGAAAATTGTCCTGCGGGGAGATTGCCACCATCATGAACTGTGAAATACAGACACATATCAAAATGATCAATGTGGATAGAAATGCTATTTAAATACGCTACCATTCGAATCATATGTTCACCAAGGCTGCAGTAAAAAACAGTAATATTGTTAAATATTATTACATATTATTATATAAATATTTTCTATTTTAATATATTTTAAAATTTTATTTCTTCCTGTGATGACAAAGCTGAATTTCAGCATCATTTCTCCAGTCTTCAGTGTCACATGATCCTTGAATCAGAAATCATTGTAATATGCTGATTTGTTGCTCAAGACACATTTATTATCATTATCAGTGTTTAAAGCAGTTGTTCTGCTTAATATTTTTTGAATTAATTTATTCCAGTATTCTTTCATGCATAAAAAAAAGGTTAAAAGAACAGCATTTATTTGAAATAGATATCTTTTGTTACATTATAATTGTCTTTCCTGTCACTTTTGATAAATCTAATTCTTCCTGAATAAAAGTACTTTTCTTTCAAAAAAAAAAATCTTACCAACCCCATTGACAATTTTTTTTTCCAAACATGACTCATTGTGATTACATAATACGTTAAAGGGCACCATTATGCAAAACTCACTTTTACATGGTGTTTTGACATAAATGTGTGTTGGCAGTGTGTGCACACAACCACCCTATAAAAATAAAAATCCACCCACTCCTTTTTTTAAATCCCCATAAATCATAAGCAGTGTCTCAGAACAAGCCGTTTGCAGATTCTGTACAAAGTGACGTCACTTAGTACAGGCCATGAGGGTTTTACAGACACTGCCCTGTAAGCATATATCCCGCCCTGAGGGAGCCGTACACAATCCGCCCTGTTTATCTTCACACTACAGGTGCATCTCAATAAATTAGAATGTCATGGAAAAGTTCATTTATTTCAGTAATTCAACTCAAATTGTGAAACTCGTGTATTAAATAAATTCAATGCACACAGACTGAAGTAGTTTAAGTCTTTGGTTCTTTTAAATGTGATGATTTTGGCTCACATTTAACAAAAACCCACTCACAATTTGAGTTGAATTACTGAAATAAATGAACTTTTTCACGACATTCTAATTTATTAAAATCAGCATTCAATTAAGAAATGTCTGTGTTTATGTAACTTATGTGTTTTTGACATAAACTTGTGTGTATATGACATTTTAAGCACAATAAGACATGAAAGAGAACTTAGTTGAGTGCTTACATGCCATGTAGGGCTGTGTTCGATATATCGATACGACGATGTATCGTCACATACTACTTGACGATACGGGTATCGATACAGCTGTTTCTGTATCGATTTCCACAGCATGTGTGCAGCAGTGGACCACGCTTAATTTGAATACAAGAACAATGTTTAAACATCAGACGCCACACCCATGTCCAAATACGTCACATTCTCATTAACTCTGAAACAGGAAGAATCATAAATTCTGCAAAGTCCTTTATATTTTCTTTTTTTTTTATCTTTTTGAATGTCATGAAAACACCATCGTGGATTTTTTCTTTAGTTATTTGAGCAAATAGGAACGCAAAAAATATATTAGAGTCGCCTCCCATTCACTGCTATAGAAGTTTAGCCAACTATGAGGACTTCTGCTTCTGAGAAACTGGGAGGAAGGACAAGTTAATGATAAGGAAAGTGTCCATGCCATGATCCGTAAATAATTGTTGATCATATCCTTTTGTAAAATTACAAATTTAATTACTTTTGCAAAATAATAAATATAAAAATACCCAATGAAGCAAGGGATGTCTTTTTATTCATCTTTAAGTATCTGGAGGACCTGGACACATTTCATATCAAGTTGTGTTGATGAAAAAGGTCAATGCCATGTTACTTAACTTATATAATCTATCAAAGCAAGCAATCTTTCTATTTAGCCCATGTATTTGTAGCCTACTGCATATTGAAAACTGTCGATCCTTTCATTCAAATGTCCATATTTTATGATAAGTGGAAAATTTCTTTAGAAGATCAAATTAAAATTTTCAATTAATGAAAATATGTTAAGCGTGAATTTTACGATACCAGAATCTAATTGTCTGCTTATATTTTATACATTTAGGTAGGTCAAAATCGATCATAATAAATGTGAATTTACCTCATTACATAAATGAATAAGGTAAGGTGTAAAGGTTTTTATTACCAATTAGCCTAACTTTAATCAACCAATGCGCTTCACCTGCTGTTATGATGACGAAATTAGCTCCGTATAATAGACATTCTTTACCAAATTGGGGGGTGACCTAGATTTAATTTGTGCCATTTTAGCCTAGACATCCTTTACAAAAATAAGAAAACGATTATTATTACTATTGTCTCTCAGCAAAAAAGAATCGACTCTGAATCACCTAAATGAGTCGTCAGGAATTCAAATCCCACTTCCGTGACGACTACACGTCACTGTGTAACACATTTGCATAATGCTCGCCTATGTTCTACGTTAGCCAGCCGCGAACAACTTGATCCACCCTCAAAGAGTGTAGCATTTCCATGTGGTTAACATCATGTCGAGAAGACACTGTGTCCTATGCTGTGAAAGTAAATTTGTTTTATTTTCACTTCCGAAAGTTGAGGCCGCAAAGAATCAGTGGTTGACACTCATTTTTTTCAACAATACCACAGCAGTACAATCCCAATCTTTTTTTGTGTTCCCGTCATTTTACTAATGACTGCTTCTCTTATCTCAGGGAGTTCAACGCAGGATTCACAAAACGCTTGCTCTTGAAAGATGGCTCAGTACACAGTTTATTTGGACCAGCTGGCTCCACTGAATCACAACCTGTAAGTATGATAAATAATAGATGTTTGTATTTTTTATCGAGCGTTCAAAATACACTTAATTCTTTATAAAAGATGCATCTAATGCAGAAACGTTTAATACAACCTGTCGTACTTCGTGGCAGCAGAGGTTTTCACCTTCGCTTGGCATTCTGATACAGTTCCCACACGTGGTGCACCTAAATAAATTATCTAACAATGACCTGGAATCACGTCTTATAACTACCACAAACTAAGCTGACACTTATCACTGAGAAACATCCTGCTCCAGTCCAGACTTTTCTCTCTATACATTCTCTCTGGAGCTGCCATTCAGTTATGGCAATGGGCATTTCGTTTCCGAAAAGTGCTCTACACGGTAGGCCAATAAGAAAGTTCTGGGCCATCTGACCAATCAGAGCAGAGTAAACGCACGGAAAGGAGGGGTTTAGAGAGACCTGCTTCGTACGAATCGCTTACGAATCATTGAGAAATGTGGTGAAATTAAATGTATATTATGAGAAAACGAAAGTGTTTTGTGGCATTGCATGCATGTTAACCTGTTGTAGGAGATTCCCAAAACAATATTAGGAACCTTAAAAATGGCATAATAGGGGAACTTTAATAGTGAAGCTCTGGTTTTAATTGCTTCAAAAACAATGATGTTACCAACTCCTTGCTGAAAAAGATAATGTAGCACTTTATTGTTAATTTTATTGACAAAAATTACAGGGCAGCGCTGAGAAGTTTCTGTGTTGCTGAATGTCTGTGCGTGCGCAGCGCGATCTGTGTGAGTGACTGAATGTGCGTGAGCTACAATGAAGACAGCGCATTAGTTTAAACGCTTCTAATTTTTATTTTTATTTTTTTTTAAACGTACAGAGTGTGTTAATTTGTGCTATCATAACCTACCAGCAATGTAAATATGATTTTATTAATATATTAGAATGAGTACATTACAATATAAATTTATTAGAACGAGTTATTATTTTTAACATTTTATTTTTATACATTATTATTTATGGGCTTAAAAACGAGATGCAAACAATCAGAATATTGTAATTTGTACCTGGTGGGGAGTGCCCAATGTTAACATGAAACCTATGCCATTACCTATATTGTTATACAGTGGTACAGTTATGGAGGCCGTTCATAATGCAGAGGTCAACTGCCTGCTCTGCCTATAGTTAGCAATGGCCCTATAGTATGCAGTGTTTAATAAACAGCTGTTTTACTCAATTCTGCTGAGGTGAAATTTAGTGCAGTCCCGTATCATGATACGTATCGTATCATGGCCTCTGTATCAGGATACGTATCGTATCGTGAGTTTGCTGGCAATACACAGCATACGTGTGACAGCTGCTTTCTGTGCGCATGCTTCAGATGTGTGCCCTCAGAAAATCAGAGGTTTCAACTGAAACGGCTTTAAAACGCATGCAAATAAGTTTTCAGCACAATAGACATGTACACAGACAGATGTTTTGTTTTGGCAGAGTATCCCAGGTATAAGCTGTAAAGACACAGTCCTATTCTGTAAAGGGGGCGGGGAGCAGTAGCTCATTTGCATTTAAAAGTACATGCACAAAAAAAAGGTGTGTTCTTGCTTCCACTCAAAATGGTACAATAAATGATCTGTGGGGTATTTTGAGATTAAACTTCACAGACACATTCTGGGGACATCTCAGACTTATATTACATCATGCAAAAAGGGGCATAATAGGTCCCCTTTAAACATGACATACTGTAAATGGTCTCTTGGTGATCATTAAGACATTTTTTTAAGTTTTTAAGTCATGTGACACATTTGCATAAATTAAAATAGAGAAATTAACCCAAACATTCTGTGCATCATTTACTCATGTCATTGCAATCCTGTATGACTTTTTTCTTCTGCAGAACATAAAAGAGGATATACTGAATAACATTGGGGTCAAAACATTAGACCCCTTTAGCTTTCATTGTATGAGCAAAAAAAAAAATCACCAAGATATTTTCAAAAAACATCATCTTTTGTCTACCACAGAAAGTCAAACAGGTTTGGAATGATATAAGGATGAATAAATAATGACAGAATTTCAATTTTGGGGTGAACTATTCCTTTAACAGCTTAAAATTGCATTTGTATGAAGCCTAAACATTATTAAATAAACAGGTAAACCGCATGCCCTCTCCCAGCGCAGCCATCTCTCTCTGACAGCTCCGGCAAGACATTTTCAAGCCATTATTAAGTTCACATCTGCTCTGACAAGCCAGTGAATACTCCACCAAATGAATCGCTCTGCCTTGTGATGAGTCAGATCTCAGACCCATCTCATAAAAGCTACGTACAATTCAGTTCAACCACACCGAAGAGCCAAAAACCATAATTTGACAGCGCTACAAATGAAATGGCCTAAAATACCTTTCTTTCCTGCAGGCTAGCACCCATTAAGGGCCGCACAATGTGACAGTGCCCATCCTCAGGGCCTGTACTGAATTATTCAAGGCTCTGTGTGTGTAGCTCAGATAGTCCTCAGCCATCTCGAGGTGAAACGCCAGCCGTTTGACATTTGCATTGATGTGATAATCGAAGGGCAAGGAGCTGAAGCGCTCTGATTTCACCAGACCATTTACGACAGAGAAAAAACAGGTGTGTAAAAGCAGATTAAAGAGGAGTGAAAAATTGAGCGTTGGTGATGGTGCATGTGGGCTGAGCGTATAAAAAAAGGGTGAGAGAGGAATGAAAGGCGAGTTTACTCACTTTCTGTCAGTATGGTCGAGACCACTCAGCCGGACCCCTTCAATGGGCTCGTTGCGTTGGCCGCACGTGTTACCATAGCTGTCATATCCGAAGACGAGTCGCGCTGCCCCTCCAGTCGCGATGGTAAACCCACAGATGCCACACTGAGAAAGGGAATTAACAGAAATTGTGAAAAGTGTTTGTTTAAAAAAAAAAGTTACAGGCAAAGATGTGGGAAAAAAATCATTTGCAGCAAAATCTAAATAATTAACAGTATTCATCAAAAGCTAATTACAGAAAGATTCACCACTAAATCAAAAGATTCCTGTGTGTTTCTTTATTTTGTAAACATCAGCCTCCTTGCATGACATGTATGTTGAGATATACACTAACACACTGTCTAATGTTTTCAGTGACAAGCAATTTGTCTGTTCTTGCTGAATGCAAAACTGCTGTGAGACCATATACATTCACAGCCAATCAGAACATATTTAATGTTTACTATACAGTTATTTGGAACGGGATTTTGAAGCAATGCAATTTCACACTGGGTGGAGTACCCTGCAAAACACCACAGAAATAGAAACCAAGTGACACTCATCATGGCTGATCACAACAACCTCAGCAAGGTGACAATACCCTATTTATCAAAAGGTAAATTTCAAGCAAAAAAGCTGAGCCTTAAATATCCTGAAAACAGTATTGAATGAATTAGCATGGTGGAATATTGTATTATATGCCAAACTAGCTAACTAACTAAATAAATGGGCTTTAATTAGAGCTGCATGATTGCATGGGGGGGGGATCCAATTGTGCTTTTTTTATATAAAAATAAGTTTTTTTTGTTGTTTTTTTATTCCAAATTTGCTGTGCTTGTTTGTATGGCTGCATAATTTGACTAAAATGTAGAGATTATATGTCAAAATGGCTATAAAAATAATAATAACAATAGTAATAATAAATTATTATTATTATTATTATTATTATTATTACTGCTGCTGCTGCTACTACTACTACTACTAAATAAAAATATTAAAAATTACTAAATAAAAACTAAATATGAAATATTATTGTTGTAAGTAAAAAAAAAAAAATTATTATTATTTTATTTTATATTACAACTGTAAAATTACAATATTAATATTTATGGATGCCTTAATTTCTTCATTTTCAAACAATAATCCATGGAACATTTTTTATTTTTATTTTTAAAGCTTCTCTTTTGTTGATAAGCGCTTATCATTACAACTATGGGAAGATGGTTGCTGCATGTTGTCTTTCCAAATCCATGTTAAAGCAACTCAAACTCAGACCTCATGCAATAATAATTTCACGAGGAGCATTTTCTGCAAAAACAAGCCACTCTGAGACGCTGCAAACACCAGCGTATAATGAGCTGCTCATGTGTAAGAACACTCAAAAACACACGGCACATTTACTTATTTAATTAAATCACACTAAGCCATATCACAATTTTAGTTATTGTTTTTAGGCTTTTTTAAGTTATTTATTTTATTGTTTTATTGTGAGATAAGAAAAAGGCCACAGATTGTCCAAGAATCGTGAACTCTACGTCTGCTTCACATCACAGTCCTGATTTACCTCTCTTTGTGATGCATGTACATTGTCTTGCTTTTTATAATAATAAATAAACAAATGCATGAATATGAAATACAATTATACAGTGTTGCCCTGGACACCTTTCATTAACATCTGACTGTTGAATACCAAAACTGACCAATTAGAACTATAAAAATCACCATTAGTATATATATAACAAAATTACTTAGTACCTGTATATGTAAATACAAAGTAACATGAACACCATATTACACAGTGTAACCAGAAGTACTTTCATAACATGCATATATAAACATAATACTGTCTAAAAATTATGAATAAGGTGAACTGTTGACTTACCATTCCCACAAGGAACAATGTAAATAACAGGAACCATGGCAGATCCGTGCAGCTTCGGTCCTCCAAAGGTTTCCATTCTCTTTTTGGCCTCTGAAAAACAAAGACACAATACTTTATGTTCAGTCATGACAAAATTACTTAGTACCTGTATATGTAAATACAAAGTAACATGAACACCATATTACACAGTGTGACCAGAAGTACTTTCATAACATGCATATATAAACATAATACTGTCTAAAAATTATGAATAAGGTGAACTGTTGACTTACCATTCCCACAAGGAACAATGTAAATAACAGGAACCATGGCAGATCCGTGCAGCTTCGGTCCTCCAAAGGTTTCCATTCTCTTTTTGGCCTCTGAAAAACAAAGACACAATACTTTATGTTCAGTCATGCTTAAACTGATTATCATTTGATTTAAATAGCTTGCCTGCCCATTAAAGATAAACTGATAATCAATACTGTAATCCTATATTAATACTTTTTCACTTAATTGGTTCTAAGATGCAGAAACATAGAGTTTACTGAAATATTGTGCAATTTTGGTAAGTCTTTTAAAATAACACTGCTATTAAACCATTGCTCATTCAATAGACAAAAAACCTTAGTAAATAAATATGTTTACATAAGTTATTTATTATTATTTGGTTATTATTATATTTATTATAATCTATACCTTCAGAGATCAGTAATGGATAATAAATATATTACTGTGTCACCATGTTTGACATATTGGTTCTAAAACACTTAGATCTAAAAAATAATCATCAAAAAACAATTCAAAAAGACAGAAAGTCAATTTCTTCTTTACATAACTAGTTAACATGCTGCAAATGATAAACAGTACTTTCATATACGGCCTTTCAAATGTAACCTGTCAAAACGTGCATATTCAAAAATCAATTTTACATAACAAGCACCGACCACAATTGATAACCATTTATAAATAGCATCCTTTGTGTAACCTGTGTGTTGTAAGAGGACAGCAGTGCCTGTAAATGTGTTTACTAACACACTACACTATGATGATATGTAGCAAAAAAAAAAAAAAAGACAACGGTCTAACGCCTTGTATTTTGATGCAAAGGCGAAATCATCACATAAATGTCATAGTCAAATGCATTCATCGCTATGTCCGATCGCATAGGACATAATAATAGGATTACATGCAGTGCAAGCGACAGTACAGCACTTCATTGGCCCGTCAAAGGCGATCAGCCGTGAAACAATGTATCACAGCGCCAGCAACAATGTATCAACACATCCGGGCGAGATTCGATACATTCTATCACGTATTGTTGCGGGCAGCGTCGCTTACCTCTGCGCTTCCACAGCATCCCATTGCCGGAGGGAGGTTAGGACCGCAAAAAAACTAAACGCTACACCGCAGGAAAACAATAACCCCAACTTGCAGGGAGTTGACGGTGTGTTTTTTACCCTGCATTAATCGTGCGCGTCGATCGCATGAATCTAATCGGAGGGCTTTCCCCGGATACACTGCATAATAATGTTTGTTAGCTCCTCTCGCTCCAGGTAAAAGGGATTATTACTTTAGGATTTATCGCCCAGCACTTCCTGGTGGGATGAGCAGGTGTAGCCGGAAAAGAACGGCAGCCGTCCATTCACAGCACGAGCTGGACGAGGCAGAGTGCGCGCTGAATGTAGGGACGCTGGAGGAACCCGGGAACTTTAAATGGCTGTGGTTACATTCTGGAATTTCCAGTAGCCCCTCACTGCAGAACAAAGATCCAGGGGGCGGGGTTGGATCCACATCTAGGGGGTGGAGATGGTAGGTTTAGGGGTGACGATGGGTAGGTTTAGGGGTGGGTTTAGGGATCAGGGGGTGGAGACGGGTAGGTTTAGATATATGTAAGGTGGGAGGAGTTGGATCTGGATCCAACCTCGCCCCCTGGATCTTGTAACAAGTGTTTTAATTGTATTTCATTAATATTTATTTAGTGCCTTGTCAACAACCACATTCTAAACAGAATCGCTTCACTGCTTGTTATTAAAAAGTAATGAAAGATTGTGCAAAGCTATATGTCAATATTTCTGACTTTAAGCACCAATAAAATGTCAAAATAATTTAGAGTGATAATTGTTGTTTTAACCATATGTTAAGCTATTACAGGTTCCCACAGCCGATTGAAAACATGGAGAGGGGAATACTAAAATTGTGTTTTCCAGACTTGGAAAAACTGTAGAAAATAACCCATAAAAGTCATTGAAATGTTTATAGTGGTTTAGCTTTGAAATGTGAGTGAATGTAATCACAAATAAGTAGAAAATTAATCAGTAAAAATGATACTATAAAGGAATAGTTCACCCAAAAAATATTTTCTGAAAAGTTTTTTTCTTCGGAGCAGATTTCACTTGCTCACCAGTGGCCCCTCTGATGTGAATGGGTGCCGTCAGAATGAGAGTCGAAACTGCTGATAAAAATCATCACAATAATCCACAAGGAATCCACATGACTCCAGTCCATCAATGAACATCTTGTGAAGCAAAAAGTTGCTTGTTTGTAAGAAATAAAATTCATCATTAAGACGTTTTTAACTTCAAAACGTTGCTTCTGGCTAAAATATGAGTTGTCTTTCCATAATATTGCTTTCCCCAGTAAAAAGTCATCTCGTCTGAATCAAGAGAGAAATATTCACAGATCAAGCACTGTTTACAAGCTAAAACAGTCCAAGACAGTTATAAACAAATATATCATAGGATTTTGATGTGAAAGGACACCAGGGGATGTTTTTTTTTTTTTTTTTTTTTTTTTTTTATTAGAATTTTTAATTAAGTGTTATTATGCATTAGGGATATTTTGAGTTTAAGTTAAAACGTCTTAAAGATTAATTTGTTTCTTACAAACATGCAGCCAAATCTGTTCCGATGAATAAACTATCTTTTTGTACAAAGTATCCTGTTGTGTATACAAGGAACTTCATTACATTTTCCAAGTGGTGTTGATGTCACTGGAGGAACCATTCACAGTCTTTTTCACAGTTCTTGCAGGAATGTATGGGCTCCATTTTTATGTTTCTCAGAAAACTGCCCATTTAGAAAAAGAACTAGTGGGTTCAACCAGTGCGCTGTGATCTAAGACTCCCAAACAGGGCTTCAAATATCCTTTCACTTTCAAAGTGTGGAAAGGTCATGAGAAAAATCATGGAAATTCACTGGTCAAAATGTGTTGAAACTACAGTTATTGTTAATTCTGTAAACACATTTGCCCTAACAATAACTGTAGTAAATATGGTATTTCTGATGGAAACTAAAGTTGCTATAGTTTCATAAGGTATTTACTCATAAACATTACTATCTTCTGGTGATATAAACATGAAATAATTTAAACAAATTAAATATAGTTTAAAGGAATAATTCACCCAGTAAATTATGACAAAATTTTCATTTTTGTGTGAACTATCCCTTTAAGAAAGATTTGGTTTTGGCAAGACCTAGCAGACCTCGATGCATATTCATACAGATTTCTATAAAAACAGGATCAAACGGTCACTGTTTGCTTGACCACTAAGAGCAGCACAAACGCCAGTCCATATGGTCATCATCACCACCCTGTTGGGAGTCTGCGTCACCGCTGTGTGCTAGTCACTGTAAAAACTACACTACAGCACACACATTTACACAGGAATTCTATTCCCACCCAAACTCCTCTTACACTTTAACTGGAGCTTTTTGAACATCAATAAACAGTACTAGAATAATAGTAAATTACTACAATAATTGATAGTGTCTATAAGAACAGCTTAAGAACTCCTGAAAACTCTCATCTCTAGAGTCTCAAACTCTAAAGTATTCAATACTTTAAAAATGTCACCAAACAAACTTGAAAATTAAACTTTTAATAAAGTTGAAATACTTAATAAAATACTTGATGCCTTTAGAAAAGTTAAATCAAAGTGCTGCAAGTCACAACAAGCTTTAAAGTTTAAATCAATTTTAAAGTTTGAAATACACTTTAATTACATTTCTGTATTGTAACAGGTGAAACAGATGTAAATAAATATTTGTTTTAGAGTGTAAGGGACAGACATTCCTTCAAGAAAAAACGAGCCAAAACCAGAAAGAAATCCTATTCTTTTTTTCTATTTTGTTTAATTTTAGAAGTCGCACTTTTATTTTTTGCCTGTTCTAAACTCGTCAATCTGTTGATTCGTATTAAGATAATGTCCCACCTTTATCCAGCTGGACCTCGGCCGATAGGAGCTTGATGTTGACCGTCTCACCTCGCTCATCTTCGGCGGTGTGCAGCATCACAGCGCGCAGTCTTGTGAGGAGTAGAGCCTCAGCTCAGAGACGCCAGCCTGGATCACTGGATCACAGAAGAGCTACATTGTTCCATTGTTCTCTGTAGTACCAGGGAGAGAGTGAACATAGTGAGTTATTGTGTGCGTGTGTCACGGAGAAAGATAGTGAGAAAAAGAGAAAGAAAGAGAGAATAAAAAGAGGGAGAAAATACTCCCACATTACTGTAAACAACAAAAGTGATTTTATTGTCAAAACTGAATGTGCTTTAATGTGTCTGTCCACTAGAGGGAGGTCATATACAACAAATACAGTATTACTCAAAACTAACCCTTTCTACTTGGATTGCTTTAACAACCACACGTCAGAATAGTTATACGTTTAATATGTATCAGTCATTATATTTCGAATTTATTATTTAAATATACAATGGAGTCCAAAAATCTGAAAATGCGTCCATTTTCCTTTTTTTCTCATTTAATAGCTTTATTTGTTGTCTTAATAATAAATATTTTATCATGTTATATCATAATGTTTCTAAAATATGAATAAAATGTAACAAATTTTTTTTTTCAGTGTGATCTCAGAATTTTGGACTGAGAATTGTATTATTTAATGAGTATATTGTACATCATTAAATAATAAAATTCACAAAACTGTTTCTTAAACCTCATTCTCCACAGCTTAATGTTAATTCAAATCTGTTTGTCTTTTATTCATTGTTTCATTCTGCTGGTACGTAGTCAATGTCAGTATGTGAAGTTCTTATTATCTCTCTCTCCGTGCTTGGTACTGTAAATATAAGGGTCATGACCATCATTATCCCTCACAGCTGGGTGAAACATTCAGTTTACTCTTTATGCAGTGTTCAGCAGTTTTAGCAAATGTCTCAACGTATTATGCAGAAATTATAAATTTTTAGAATAGATTTTGAAGTCTCTACAATATCTAGGAGGCTGTTTTGCTCTTATAAACAAAACCAGCCTGTTACTCCTTAAACCCATAGCCTGAACTTTCCCCTTAAATGTGATGAAACAGCATTGATGTGTCTGTCACACACTTACCAAGACAACATGTTTGCTGTGTTTTCCTTGTTTATTAGTCCATTGTCAGCTTAGGTGTAATTATTGTTCCATAAGAACCTTTACTCTATTTCTGACAAAGACTAATGTGATATTTATGTTTCATATTAACATTCAAGCTCTCTGCTTCTAGCCTTCCATGTTTCTTTTTCAAGAAAGCATCAGTGCTGCCGGTATTTCCCCTGCAGGACACATTGACCTCAGAGCTGAGGAATGAACCAAATCATTAAGAAACTAAATTGCTTGCCAACCTCTCTATAGCAACTTATAAGAAACTTACATAACATCCTCAAATTTAAGCATCACAATTTAAGCAATTTGTATGATTATAAATAAAATTGAATAACAAGATAATATATTAATTTGTTTTATTACGTTGGACAGAAAAAAAGGATTTCTAAATTGCCTAAAATATCTGGGTTTTGGTTTTATTTTCCTATTGACTGGCTCTATATAGTCCTTATTATATATATGTGTGTATTTGCATTGCTTTGACCGTTCTCTGTAGATCCACCCTGCACTCCACAATGTGTTATGGCAAGTAACAGATTGAATTAAATCTGAAACTCAAAAAAAAAAAAAAAAAGTTTTTTAATTAATAAATAACTGCAACTTAAAAAAAAACTTTTTGATATATAACAAATTTCCAACAGAACAAACAACAGAAAAAAAGTAGCTGAGGCCAGCCTAAAATGCATAACTGTCCAAAGAAGACATACACCATGAAAAATTATTTTTACAATAGCATCTGAACTTGTTATCGAAGCCAGTGTATCCAAAATGAAACCAAACCGACTTCATCTGGTGAATTATGACATTGGCAACATTTTATAATAAGTTTATTAACGGTAGCAAGTGTAGAGCATGTGTTCCTGGGGTTTTAGAAATATGCTTTCCATTATTTTCTCAGCCTCGTCCACTAAAAATTTCAGAAATATTTCATGACTTCCTGTAGCAGAGGAACTGACAGTGGTGGACTGTATGTGCCAGTAGGTGTACTGCAGCAAAAGCACTACTTGAAGTGGTAATATCAGCTGACCCTTCCTCCAGAAAGTGAGATCACAGAAAGGTTACTTAAGGTCATTGGCTGTTTGACTGGAGCTGTTTTTATAGTCTTCTAGATCGGACTGTGTACTAAGAAATCATTTTAGGATTGTCATATATGAACTGAATGCAAATTAAATTGTCTAATTTGTTCTGCTAGTATTATGAAATACCATCCCTGCCCCTAGAAATGAAGATATCACTGGAACGTAGACTGTTGGTAAATTTGGATACTGAGCTCAGCAGCATTTCTAAAAAATTAAGGTGACATGTTTGTGTTTCTCACAATGCCAGCATAGCGGATCTGGATTGACACTATAGGTCCAGGATTTTCCAGAATTTCACTAGCTTTCACAATGTCAGTTGCATCTATATTGCAACACCAACACAAACACCAAACACGGAGAAATTACGTCTTGGCATATGCTATGGCACAAGATTGTAATCAGTTTGTACCTGAATTTACTCAATTGGTTTATGGAAAATAGTTCCCTGATAAGGATTAAAGGATTAAGAATATAAAGGTAGGTTTCAAATAGCTCAATAAATCCTATTCTGGTCTAGTCCGAGGTCCCCGCCTACATTCACCAAGAAAAGCCACCAAAAAAATTAAATAAATAAATACATAGCCTACCTGGCCACCATGAGAGGTCTTGCAGGTGTTTTAGAAGGCATTCCTAATGCCTGGAAATTGAGTCAGTCAAGTTGAAGATGACCATTGTTCATCTATCTATCTATCTATCTATCTATCTATCTGTGTGTGTGTGTGTGTCTGTGTGTGTGTGTGTGTGTGTGTGTGTGTAAAAACATCAGAATTGAGTGGTGGTATAATAATATTATATATATAATTTATTTTATTTACTATTTTCTTTGCAGATTATGGTCCTTTTTGCATTCAAAGACTTTATATTGCAAAGCATGGTTGCTTATTTCATCCCATCAACTCTATCCAAAGAAATAGCTCCTAATGGAGTGAAAAGGGAAAGGGAATGTGCCAAGTGTTGTAATATGCCAGACTGCCTGTTTTTAAGATCCCCAGACTGCATAAGATTTTGTCATTTATGGCCATTATAAAGCAAACAAAATGTCATTTTTTGCCAAAAACACCAGTAGAAGAGGCATGTTTCATCCCTGTGTTGTTTTCATGGCACTCGTTTGTCAGCAGATGTTTGCAGTTATGCCGTTTAAGAGCTGTTTTGGGCTCCACGTGTTGATCCAGACCCAGTTAAAATGTGCAGCAGACTGGATGACCGACAGTAACCCCGGCGCTCAGAGCGGATGCGCTATAAAAGCTCTTCAGAACCTTCAGATGCTCCTTCACACGAGAGTCTAGAAGGACGAATATACATCTGATTCATTGGGATTACAGCGAATGTCCATCAAAGGTCATCAGCTGTCAGGTAAGATACATTTATGCTTCGTTTTCTTTAACATCGTTAATTTGTTTCTGTAGAGAATGAACGACAAACGCAACGTTTCAGGTGGCGTATTATTAAAAACAATACAAATGCCATAACAATATTTCAGTGTTTATGACGAGAGAGTCAAAGTTGTCAAAGGAAATCATTAAATGAAAGTTCAATCCAATGGCACCAAGTTTCTTTTCATTGAAGTAGCACTTCATATGAAATTGTGCAACACGCAGTTGTTATTTAACTTAAGAACAGCTGTAAAGCTTCAGAAATAAAACCTGTTTTTTTTTTTGTTTTTTTTTTTAAAAAGCAATAATAACACCAAATAGCAAAAGATGACAACGTGTGATTCTTTATCGACGGACAGAAAGATCATACGTGCTGTATGAGAACAGCAACATTAGAACAATGAACCAGGCGAAGGTTCAGGTCTCAATGTGTTAAAAATAAATAAATAAATAAAAACTGTACAAACACGCAACCCTAAGTTAAAGTGCGTTAAAGGAAAATCAAAGTGATGACAAATCCACAGCTTGCAGTAAAAGTTACCTTCGCGTTTGACTACTTCAGGAAATTTGAGTTGAAAATCTACTCTATACAATCAAGTAGAAATGACAGAGATTACTGTGCCAAGCTAAATAGTTGGAAACGGATGTTTAAAAAAAAGGACACATTTTGTACACTGAATGTATTTACCTATAAATGAAAGCTTATACCACCTGCGTCTGTAATAGTGGAAGACATAACATGTGCAAGTAGCTGAGAAAGAAAAGCAGTGAAGTCTGAATTCTCTGCTTTCATGCATTTCAGCTGAACATAATGGGAAACGCCTGGAATCAAGTTAATGACCAGAAGAAGGATTTATATATAAAAACGCATAGAAAGCTATACGGGTACAGTCATGTTCTCTCCTGATCTGTGCATGTTGATATAGAATAACCTAAACATTCCCAAAAGTCACTGGTGCTGGGGTTTTGTAAGGGCCAACAGGAACATTGGGCAGTGTGATGAAGGGTGCAGGTGTAAATATCGTTTCAGACACTGACAATTATTTATTTTCGGCTTTATTTTTCGACTTTACTTTTGGAATTTTAAAAAAAAAATTTTTTACGACTTTGTCCAATTGATATTGCTGTGTATTCCTGAGATATTTACGATATTTTATTTATTTATTTATTTTTTACCCTTGGACTGTGGTGATTAACCCTATAAAACCTATTGTATCATATTTAATAGTTGTTGATCATTTTAAGGACTCTAATTTATCAGCATGATCAAATTTTTGCTAAAAAAAATACCTGTTGTACAAAATCTACATCTAATTGACAGTTTAGCAAAAGGCCTTTTAGAATAATTGTAAAAACTCCATTAAAAAAAAAGTGTTTTATAGTATTCTTTCATATGTCAGGTTTTACAGGCTTAAGTTTTGTTTCCATCCAAGCTCATCACAAATCTGATCATTTCTGTTTTGGGCTACCTGATTAAATCACTGAAAGGGTCAGACAGTGAGAACAATGTAAGCGTTAGATGAAGATCACTCAAGAATGTCTGGACCTTTTTCACATTTGAAAAGCGTCGTTAACATAGAGCAAGGACACAGATTAACTCCCTGACTTCCAGCAAATCCTAACCCTAACCCCAGAGACCCTAATGGCCTGTGAAAAACCTTGCTTGATGATTCTCTGACACTACAAGGTCCACCACTTTCAGGAATTCTGGGAAAAAGAAAAGGCTGGCCTTCCCTAAAACTGGGGCAGAAGAGGAGAGATGAAAAGGGAAGACATGAGCGAGCAGCAGAGATTCAGATAGGAGGGCTGCACTTTGTCCTGGACTTTTGAGCTGTTCTGTTGGTCGTGGCTGGATGCCTTTTTTTTACATCGCATGTCTCCGTTGTGTCACTGCAGTTGAGAGCTGAGAGTGAAAAGGGACCAGAGTGAAGATGTCTGTCTCCACTCAGCTGGGTCTGCTGCTGTGGAAGAACTTCACCTACAGAAGGAGACAAACGGTAAGGACATCAGATTTAGTATCAAAAATCATTTTATGCATAACATGTCACTCATAATGGTTTACTAATAAGTAAAGTAAAATTTGTAATTGTTATAACTCATTTAAAATCATACTGCTATTTGAGATCAACATTATGCCACTGGAGATTATTTCAGATATCATTTTAGTCATTTTAGATTTAAATTTATTTATTCCTTATAATGCAGTTCTAGAATCTCAAGCTGTTTACTTTCCATAACAACCCATATATTGAATCATTTTAAAATCATTTCAATACAGAATGCTGCTATATTATGATTTTCAGGTCAATCTACATGCAAATCGTATTTATGTGGCCATCTCCTCAAAATAGGGTATTTTACTCTTTAAACCATTACAAAAAGCACTTTGGTTGTACCATACTATTGTATTTTGATGTATACAATGGTACTGAAGTGTGTGCATTTAAAAGGTACTTCCATGGTTGTTTCATAGTACATGTCAACATAACATGGTAGAACCTGGTACTTTTAAAATCTTGTATGAAAAAGTGCTTTAATTTAATTTTGTATTGTTTAATGGTTTGAAACAGTTCAATACTGATGCATTTGCATTTCTTTGGTTTAAAATAAATAAGCATAACCCCACAAAAGTGCTACATGGAGAATGAGTGGTCAGACTACTTTCATTCCCAACTGGGTCTATGTAGACAGGCCATGTTCCCAGTGGATGATCCTGTCTGCTGTTGTACTATATCTGGAGGAACTGATCGATACCCTGTCATGTATTAATAATAAATGTTGTTAATAAAAACCTGCCCTTGATGACATTCCACACCAGAAGCTCATACCTTAGACATTAGAGACTTGAGAGCTTTTTTCTTGAGAGCTCTATTAGTCATGTTTCACCGGGGCCAAAGATGGTCTCCAGTGTCTGCACTTTACAGAAAATGCTGACTGTTTTTGTCCTCGTGTGTTTGACTTGTGCAGCTCCAACTGCTGACGGAGATTGTGTGGCCTCTCTTTATTTTCTTCATTCTGATCGCTGTGAGGTTGAACTACCCGCCTTATGAGCAACATGAATGTAAGTACACTCCTCGGTTTTGTACCTGTGAAAAGAGAGAAAACACATTTTAGAAGTAATGGTGTTGTGAGGTATCTACACAGTGCAGCATTTATCCTGTTTTGTAATATTAAATTCCTGACTTGGCATTGGAAAACTAAATGGCTGTCACGTGTTGCATGCAAAACAACTTTTGCAGTGCAACCTGTGCATATTAATTGCATTGCATAACCTAAATACATGGTGCACACGGGGCGAAAATGCACATTTCGTTTCATTGCATGTTTTTTTATGGTGTTTCATTATCAGATGTGTCAGACCTGCAGGGTGTTTATGAGTTCTCACTGATAACTGGAGTAATCGGTGTTGTGTCAGTCACAGATGATGTATAGAAAGATAGGGTGATGCTATCAGGAGCATGCTGGGATTGAAATAGTGCCCTATAGACAAAGTGACAGCCATTTTTGCATTTTAAAGCACAGACAAACACAAAATGGTCTACATTTTAATGTTAGCTGTTATTTGGTAGTAAAGTGACGTTGATTACCGAATTTATTAGCTGGTTTGTTCAGTGTATCAGTATGTCTTGTTTTATAGCACCTGAACTTTTATCATGCCTGAATGGCTTTCTTGAATATTTTTATTTTGATGTAGCAGCATAAGCAACAGTACATTACTTCAAAACAGATGTAGTTACATTCTTCTCTGCCATTCAAATTTTCTTTTCTTTTTTACATAATACAAAACAAAATAACAAACAAAATTAAATAAAAATTAAATAATAATGTTAATAACAATAATAATTCTTACAATTAGGGGGAGGTCAGGTATATACTTAATAATCAAACTCCATACTAAATAATGTTAAGTGTTTGTTCATGGTCTGTGATGGAGACTGTGGGAAAAAGTCTGCTGGTTTCCGATGTGGAAAAGGTATGTAAGGGAGATTACAATAACATTTTTCATTCAGAAGGGAAGGGTCATTTGTTTTATACCTCCACAAAGTCTGGCCGTAATGGCCTTACATATTCGACCCACTTGGACCAGACTTTTCTGAACACATTCTTCTGACGATGAAGGGAAAAAGTAATGTTTTCCATAACATAAATATCATTTACTATATCCATCCATTCTTGTAGTGTGGGGGGTCCAGGAAGCAACCAACGCCTTGTAAATGCTTTTTTACAAGCAGATGTTAAAATGTCAAATAGGTATCTTTCAGGCCATCTTGTCTGGAAATCAGCATTTCCTAAATATAATGTGGAAAAGTCCAAAGGCAGTGTAGTGTTAAAAATGCTTTCCACTGCTTTATGAAGCTCTGCCCAGAAAGGTTTTATCACTGGGCACTCCCAAAATATATGCCCCTGATTGGCTTCCCGAAACCCTGATTGGCTTTCTAATTGACAATGTTATATATTCAAAGGTGTCATCATGCCCCAAGTAATGCAACTCATGCCGAGCTGTAAACTAGCCAGGAATTTAAAACACAATCCTTGAGTAGTGGCCTTTGAAAAGACATACTGCATTAAATGTTGTACCATAATAGATACATAATAGATAGATTACTTTCTGTTCTTCTTTGTGGAATGGTGAGCCTTGGTCATGAGATCTTGTTGACGTGCAGATGTGTCCGTTTGGTGCCGCTTTGGTTTTTCACAGGAAATAGGAGGTCCTGTACATAATTTCACTTCTCCCCAAGTCTGGAGTGTGCTGATGGACAAATAGATTTGTCATATGCAAGTACAGTCAAG